ATAATAATAATAATAATACACAAAGCAAGTGATGCACAGTGCAATTGCTCACCACCCGCTGACCGATGCCCAGCCAGTCCCCGAGCAGCGGCCCCCCCCGTCCCCCGGCCAGCTTTCCCCAGTTTATGTACTGAGCATGACATCAACATAGTATGGAATGTCCCTTTGGCCAGTTTGGCTGTGCCCCCTCCCAGCTTCTTGTGCACCTGCAGCCTTCTCAGTCAGTAGAGCATAGGAAACTAAAAAGTCCTTGCCTAACGTAAGCATTACCTAGCAACAACGAAAACATCGGTGTGTTATCAACATTGTTCTGGTCCTAAATCCAAAACACAGCACTGTACCAGCTGCTAGGAAGAACATTAACTCTATCCCTGCCGAAACCAGGACACCATGGAATCCCTTGCAGCTGGGCTGTGAGCATAATGAAGTTGGCTCTTCTAAAATCCAGGATCTTTGTCCTTCTACTGGTCCTCAGTGTGCAATAGCAGGATCTTAAACTCCACAGTGTTATAATCACTGTATTCAAGTCTACCATTGGTAGTTATATTGTCAAGTAAGCTTTCTCTGTTTGTGAGCAGTAAATCTAGCAATGCACTGTTCCTACTTGACATGCAGCATCTGTAGCAGGAAGCAGTCCTCGATGCATTCCAGGAACTTGGTGGACAACCTGTGTACTGCTATGTTGTTTTCCCAACAAATGTCCATGTAATTGAGTCACCCATGAGGATCAGATTCTGTTGGCCCAAGACTTCCTTGAGCAACCAAGGTAAGGTTTCATCAGCCTTGTCATCCTGATTGGGTGGTCAGTAACAGCTAACTACCATAAGATCCCCCGTGGTGGTGATCCCTCTTAATGATGACCCAAAGGCGTTCAATAGAACTTCCGTGGTCTTCGTAGCTCACTGCTATCACTCAAATTTCTCTTTTACATAAAGTGCAACTCCACATCTTCTTGTTCCCTTCCCATATTTCCAAAAGAGTTTGTAGCCATTCATTGTGGTCTTCCAGTCATGTGAGTTTTCCTACCAAGCTCCTGTGATTCCTATGACTGTATATCAAACCGGCAGATGGGTGCCTCAGTGCCTCTCAGCAGGGAGTCACACACTGCTAGCACTTGCTGCTTTCTTTTGTAGCTTTTAGTGTGTGCAGTTTCTCCCTGTGAATCTTGCTCATTGGTTTTGTCCACTGCCAAGGTTTTATATCTGTTGTTGGTTGGTACATGCAAGGAAGGGGAGTGAAGTGATACCCTGTTCCTACAGGTTCACCAGAGGCTATGGCGCCTCATGTTCCAACATGTTGTCTTTTTGCTGGTGAAGCTCTTTTTCTGGTAGTCCTTGGAGTTCAGTGCCACTGGGCCCCAGTATTTCTTCTTGCAAAGTCTCAAATAATACTCCATTTCTTGTTCACCCTCCCAAAAAAACATAGCCTGCTAACTTCCTCCTGCAGCTCCTCCACCCACTGCCTCAGCGATTCCACCAGAGCACAGTTTGTACAGATGGAGCTTCCACCCTCCTCTACCCAGGATTGGGGGGGGGGGCAGATTTTGCTGCCTCCACCTGTGCAGCAGGTTCCCTGACAAGAAACTGTCTGGGTGGCTGCCTCCACTCATCTCAGGCTAGCTTGGCTAGGTAGACGGTTCCCAGCTGCTGCAGAGCACAGTCCCTGCTTGGTTTCTACCAACGTGCTTCTTACAACCTTAAAGTACTGCCTAATAAGCCCTTCCAATTCCTTGGTGACCCTCAAGTTGCTGGGTAGGTTTGCACAGCCACCAGCTAGGTGGGGATGACCAATGGGCCTGCAGCCTAAGCCTGCAGGTGAGCAAAGCAGGCAGCAGCCCAATCACTGGCAGCATGCACTGCACTTTCTGCACTCCCTTCTCTGTGAACTGCCACACAAACTGCTGACGCCACTCCCGACAGATGCCACTCCCTTTTTCTGTGCATATTTGCCACTCCCTTTTTCTGTGCATTTTTTGCTTATGTAAAATGTAGTTACTTCATTTAGTTGATAGCATTTTTTCAGTGATAGTTGCCCTTCTCAATTCGAAGTTCAGAAGTTATTAAAACTGATATAACAATGGTTTGGGGCAAAGATTTAAGGTTAATTTTAGATACCATTGGAAATGAATCAAATTCAATTTTTTTTTGCTATGAGTAGCTGGGCATATCATAATGAAGATTAGAAAGCAAGTAATTTAAACTATCATACTAGCAATGCACAGAAAATAGAAAAAATATTCAGTGCAGTGACCAGCAGTTAGCAATATTTTCACGTTAGCATCTGATTGTCAAAAAGCTCTAATTACGCCAGCACTATGACTACAGACAAGGTTGTAGTAGTTACCTAAAAGTAAGTAGAAGTTCCTTTAGAGATCAATATTAAACCCATACTGCCTAGAATATGAATATTTCTCAGTACTCATGCATTTTCTACTTGCTTTGAAAGAGAAAATACTAGCTTCCAGCTGGCTGGCCATAGGTCTTTCATTACACCTCTTAATGTGACTGGAATTAATTTTGTTTCTTTATGGTATCATCTTTAAACACCAAATCTGCCCTATTTTTCTGTTGCTTAAATGCAAAGGTGTGGGTTTTGAAGAGTCAATCAGTAATTGGCATGCTCCCATTTTGCAAGTAGGACATCACATCAAAAACTTGGCTGTGTGAGTGGTTAACTGCCTGAGGTTATAATATGCAAAGAATTTCCTTTGAAGTTCTGAACTAATTTGTTCTTCATTTGTTTTAATTTATACTGGACTTCAGGCAAAGTTAAATTTTAAAATAGATTTATATTTTCTGTACTTGGCCCTTGCTGTCACTGCGGGAGCCCCAAAATATTTCTCAGTTTTATCTATCAGGAAACAGGCAGAAAATTCAGTAAAAATTGAGTAAAAACTGTAAACCCAGCATGTTTTATCTTCCATTTTTGTGAAAGCATTTAGGAATGTATTAGGTTGAACAATTTAAAGACATTTTTTATCTTCTTAAATGATGTACTGTGTTACATTCTACAGAAAAATTATATATTCCAAGTTGTCCAAGGGGAAGAAAATCACATTTAGCACTTAAAATATTACAACTCTTCAAGATAAGTCTTCATAGGCAGAAGATTTAGTTATAGCTTACCATTTTTAACATCTTATAAATTCAATATCTAATGGGTATTTTATTCCCTTTTAATGAGCAGCTTTTGAAAGATGTGTAGAATGTTACACAAAGGTTGCTGTGTAATATTTTCCCAGAACTGAATGGTTCTGCCTGAAGTTGTTTTGTTAAAATAATTTAAAAAACCAAAACAAAACACAAAAAAATGAACCAAAAGATATTTGTTACTAACTTTCATGTCTGTTGTTACTTTCCTGAATAATAGGAAGTAATTTCCTCCTACTCCCAGTATTCCTTAGATGAAAGGATGAGAAGTCACATGGCCCTGGACTGGATTACAAAGGAGCAAGAATCTCCAGGAATTATATCGCAAGAACTGCAAGTTGCACTTAGGGAACTGGAAGAAGCCAGGAAAGCTGGGCAGGAACTGAGGTTTTACAAAGAAAAGAAAGAAATACTGAGCTTAGCCCTGAGTCAGATCTACAGTGATCAAGTTAACTCTTCCTCATGGAATGATCAAATGAGCTTGGTTTTACATGGCTACCACTAACCTTGAAGAAGGCATTTGGCTACCACTAACCTTGAAGAAGGCATTTGACTTTGAACTATGACATACTCCTCTCAGTTGAAAAGACCCCATGTGTAAATTAGTAACATTCTTTTCCATGGCTGTTTTAATTTCTGTATCTAAAAGCACTGATGTATTTTTAATTTTTTTTTTTCAGTGGATAGAAATATTCTTCAGGTCAAGTAAAAGCTACCATGAATATTTGATGTAGTACTGGTACTAAGCTACAGGTAAACCTCAAGGGAAGCAAACCACAGAAAACTTTTATGGTACTCTGGAGATTGAAGTGTTCTGCACAAAGACTCTATATTTTCTTTGCTGAAGATATAAAAATTGTGGTCAGAACCTACAGACTGTTAGAAATAAAAGACAAAAAAAAGGGCCTGCTGGTCTCTTTTTAGTTCCAGACTCTTTCACAGCAACTGTGTTTCCTCCTGGCACTGCTAGAAGGTGCAATTGCTGAAGTTCATTTAGTCGGTTTATTCAAGGGTAACAAGAGTCTTCCAAGCAAAAAAGCTGCAGCATACAACTAGTACTACAGATTCCACCTTTTTCACCCTCTGTTGAAGTCAAGGTGATATTATCAAGCTGTACGAACATAAAGACTGGCTAAAGTTATTAGATTGACCATGCTCTGCTGAGAATTAATAACAGATGCTTTATGATAATAGTCGGCCAGTCAGACTGGCAGACTGGAAAACTGTTATGCTCTGATTCTAATATCAAGTAGAATAAAAAAAAACATTTTCCCCTTCTTCTGCCCTTTCAGAGAGCATTGACTCACTTCCACTGAAACAAATAGCTACTGAGATTCAAGATCTTTACTTTCTCCATACCATCAGCCCAATTCTTCTGCCAGAAGTTACTGCCCTGAAGCACAGTCAGCACCATGTGTCTAGATGAGGCACACATTCAGGTTACCCAGCATGCTATTTCAGCTGATGATGAAGGCAGAAATGGACTAAGACACCGGACAATTAACTTGAACAAGTTTCTTTCTAATTATGCTTTCTAATAACTTCTGCCAGAAGAATGGACACCTGGCAGGGCTCTTAGTTTAAGTAACCTCAGTGGCCTCAGTAGTAACTCCTAGCATCATTAAAATATTCTTCAAATATTGTGTATTTCCACATAAAAGGGACAAATTGTTCCATTAGCAGAGAAGGAGCTGGAGAGAGTTCATTTTTGTCTCTTGTAGAAATGGGGACGCAACTACATCACTTCTGAAATAAAAAAGAGGGGAGCGCTGGTCAGCAGTAATGATCTTGCTGCAAAACCAGTCACACCACTGCTAATGGCTGTGGGAAAACTATGACCTCCAAAGCTTCTTGTGCTCTTTGAGAAAGAATATGCGATGGTTGTACGGGATGCACTTCCAGCACAGGTGGAGCCAAGCTGCCCATAAAGCCTACCTACAGCAAGCACAGCTTAAAAAGGAACACAAATAACGCAGAATTTTGGAAACTTGAGGGTGGAAGTTTATTTGTGAAGGAAAAGAAACAGCCATTGCTGATTTTCTGTGATTTTTGTTTGTTTGTTTGTTTAATTCTTGTCTATTGAACATGGAGTTTCAGGAGGAAAGAAGCCTCCCTCTCCAGCAATCTGAGATCTGTGCCTAAACTGATAGTGGCATGGACTTCAAGATTCTTGGGTTCTTTATTTATGCCCACTGAGGAACTACCTCAATTTATTGGCAGGAACCAACAAGTCCCAAGAGCAGAAATTCATATTGAAGAAATATTATTACGTAGGATGGAAAATAGGTGGGAGTGAACTCTTGACCAATTCTACCAGATAATAGAAAGCTCTGATTTTTTTTTTTTCCTTTTTAATGACTCATCAAAAGAGTGTATGTAGCTGGCTGACTATTCCTCAAAAAACACATTTTATTAACTGGAAGGGTATTTTGTCTTAATTTTTAATATTTTGCCTGGATGACTATAAAAATACCTTTCATTCAGAACATTTCAATTACATAACAATGAAGTGAAAATCATTTTTATAGTGCATCAATAAATTGTACATACTGCCTTGCGCATTTAGGTTGAGTAATTTAGGTAGGGGTTTGACTCCTATCAATGCAGTATCTAAACTATATAAAACAGCAGATTATAGACAAAGTACTGGAAAAGCCTGGATTGCTTTGATTTTTGTTTGTTTGTTGATCAGATGAGGAAATAAACAATCACACTACAATGGACTGACTGATACTTATTTCAGCATTCAAACTTTACTTTTCCTATTAAATACTTCATCTCAAATGTTTTATACAGAAAACAACACACAAAACCACAGACAAATAAAGATAAACAGAGGCCAAATCCTAGGTGTCTGTGCTCTCTTTGAGCTAATGGGAAGATACAAAAGGGAGGCTACCTTTGACTGGACACAATTCACCTGGTGTTAACAAGTTCTGTCCACTTTCCTATTTGCATTCTTTTCTTAACCAACTCCTGTCTCTCCCCACCGTATTTTTACCTTATAGCTTGTTCATGATCAGCATTGTCTATACTCAGGTACCTAGATATGTCTCTCCATGCTGTTCCTCCCATTGTTAGACATAACTATGCCAGGGCTGCATTCCAGCTGAACACCTAATCACTTTTTGATGGGAACTTTGTGTTGTAGCCTTAACAGCCTACCTGGGGTGCCAGAACATAAACAGTCTATTGTTACAAGTTGAAATCCATTATTGCCTATACACAGCACAGGTGATGTCTGATTACATCATTTATCTCCTCATTATACTTCATACATTACTTTGATGTTACACTCAGGAGATACATGGGTGTCTGTAATTTCTGGAAGTAACTGTGTGGAGAAAGAATCTATCAGACACCCTCCCCACATTTATATACTACAGTACAGCTATTTTCCAGATGTTAGGAAGATGTACAGTCATCTTACTTGCATCCACAGTCTCGGAAATGTTGCCCTCTTGCTCCTTCGCCTGAAATCTTTAGCTACATGAGGAGAGAATGGTAAACATATCTTTCAGAGTTTTCCACTAGGCAGAGATGAAGTGGTATCAGGAGATTTGACACCCTGAACAGAATGGATTGTGTAGAGTTAATTCAGAAGTAATGACAAATAACTGGGCAAATGTGGCTTTGCATAATAAAGATCTGTAAACAATATGTTGATATTATCAGATATCTATGCTATAGTAGCTTGATTTTAAGAGGCAAGAAAATCTTTTATTTGGCTTCAACACTACTCTCTTATAGTTACTAAAACCATGCTCAGTCCTTGAAAAAAAGAAATTGTGTGTACTCTCACTCCCATGGTGCCCTGAGGCTGCTAGGGATATGATCATACCTGTGACACATATGGCCCAGCTGCAGCCTCTTGCAACAGCATAAGTGAAGAAAATGCAGCTTTGCTGAAGGGTAGAAATAGTACTCACCTTAGTGAGCTATTGGTAACGGAGAGCATTCTTTACCTACACTAAGAATTGCTGATGTCTTCAGTACAGTAAATGCACACACCCTCTGGGATTAACAAAACTCTTCAGCAAACCTCTGCAATTCTTTTGGTGTTTTATATTCTATTATATTCCCTGGGGAAGATCTAGTGGACATCTGAGTCCAGTAGACAATATGAGGCAGCAATGTGCCTGCTGCCAGCAAAGAAGGCAAACCACATTCTGGGGTGCATTAAACACAGCATAGCCAGCACGTCAAAAGAGGTGATTATTCCACTGTATTCAGCATTGGTGTGGCCTCACCTTGAATACTGTGTGCAGTTCTGGGCCCCACAATTTAAGAAGGATGTTCAGGTCCTTGAATGCATCCAGAGGAGGGCAATAAAGCTGGTGGAAGGGCTGGAAGGAATGTCCTGTGAGGAGCACCTGAGGACTTTGGGTTTGTGTAGTTTGGACAAAAAGAGGCTGAGGGGCGACCTCATTGCGCTTTACAGCTTCCTGGGGAGGGGAAGTGGAGAGGGAGGTGCTGATCTCTTCTCCCTGGTATCCAGTGACAGGAGGCCTGGGACTGGTTCAAAGCTGCAGCAGGGGAGGCTCAGACTTGACATTAGGAAACATTTCTTTACCTACAGAGTAGTCAAACCCTGGAACAGGCTTCCTGGAGAGGTGGTCGATGCCCCATGCCTGTCAGTGTTTAAGAGGCATTTGGACAATGCCCTTAATAACATGCTTTAACTTTTGGTCAGCCCCGAAGTGGTCAGGCAGTTGGGCTAGATGATCATTGTAGTTCCCTTCCAACTGAAATATTCTATTCCATTCTATCTGAGCTCTGCAGAAATTAGATACTTGAGCTTAATTAGCTTGAAAATAAATAATGGAGTCCCTCACTTATTATTTGTTCATAAATTATTTCACGTGATGTTTAGTCACCAGCAGCAACATTTACAGCAATATGCAGATAACAATCCCCTGCCTTAATTTTATCAAACATGTTTGTTCACAGTAAACTTTTACTACAGGCTCCTGTTACAATTTTCCTGTCTTTTTACCTCTGCTGCTGAATCAGTTAATATTACACATTTGTGCTCATTCAGTGTTACTACTGCAGACATTCCCCCCACACTTCTTGCTCTTCCCTGTACAAAAAAGTTATGCTTGAATAGTAATCAACTCCACTCCACCAAGTTGTGTTCATGTTAGCATGTGTATCAGTTTTCTGACATATAAGTGCATAGGAGTGAGAAGCACCTGCAAAAGACAGACAGTGTTGTGAGACCTATAGAGAGACAACTGCCCAAAGCAAAAATTGAGATGTTTTCTGCCTGAAAACAGCCAGCAACATGGAGGAAGCTTGTATTGGAATCCTGTGGCATAATTAAGAAACAGAGGAACATTGCCTGTTTTATGACATACTGTACCAGGTCTGGCTGGGATGGAGTTAATTTTTGTCAAAGCAGTTTGTGTGGTGCTGTGTTTTACATTTGTGACTAAAACAATGCTGACCACACACTAATGTTTCAGCTATGGCTGAACAGTGTTTGCACAGCATCAAGGCCTC